TTTCATTCTAGTGGGAGAGGTCAGTCAGTCAGTCAACAAGTGAATAAATATCAAACAGTGGTAAGTGCCTTAGAACAAGGTAAAGAAGGAGCTGGCAGAGTTTCAGAGGATGGAGTGCAGTTTTAGACAGAATGGCTGTAGAAAACCTCACTGAGAAGATAAAACCTGGACAAAGACCTGAGGAGGTGCGGGAACAAGCCTTGCAGATGTCTGAGTGAAGACTTAGGCAGAGAGAACAGCGACTGACAAGGTCTTGAGGAAAGGTGGCGATTGGCTTGTTCAGGAAATAATGAGGCCAGAGCGATGAGGCAGAATTAGTAGGTGAGAAGAGTCATGAATGTCAGAGAGGTGATAGGAGGCCAAATTGTGAAAGGGCTTTTTAGCCATTGTGAAGATATTTAACTTGCGTTTGAGTGAGGTGGAAAGGCATTGAAGGGTTATAAGCAGAAGAGCACTGTGATCTGACTCAGCTTTGAAAAAGATCACTCTATCCACTGAGTTTAGTATTGTCTGAAGGGGCCATGGCTTGAAATGCCCAGGCTCTTAGAACAAACCAGATTAGAGCTGAATGGTGGCTTGGACTAGGTTTGTAGGGGTGAAGGTGGCAAGAAGGAGAGAGAATCTGGGTATATTACTGAGAGTGGGCCAATAGGATTTGCTGATTAATTGGATATAGGGTTTGAGAGAAATACAATTACCAAGGATTGGCCTGAGCAACCAGAAAGCTGAAGTAATCATTAACAAAGATCAGAAAGGCCATGAGAGGAGAGGTTTACGGGTGAATGACTAGGAGTTCGGTTTTGAACCTGTTAGGTTGAGATGGCATTTTGATATCCAAACCAAAAATAACGTAACAAGTTTTATATATGAGTCTGGAATTGAGGAATGTAGTGCTTACTGTAGATATAAATTTGAGAGTTGTGAGCACACAGATATTATTTAAAGCTACAGAACTGGACAAGATCACCAAGGAAAGGAATTTCTATAGAGAATAGGCTCGAGGACTGAGTCCGTGGGTACTCAGTGCTTAGAGGTCAGCGAGATGAGGGGATGCGTCAAGGGACTTAGACGGAGCAGCTAATGAGGGAGGAAGAAGGCTGGGAGGGAGCAGTGTCTGGAAGACAAGTGAACGAAGTGTTTCAGCACACGGGAAAGCGATCCACTGTATCAAATGCTGCTCATGGCACAGGTCAAGTAACGCGACTTTTGAATTTAACAATGTGATCATTGGTGGTGTGACCTTTTCAAGCTCTGTCTCAGTGGAGAGTAATTAAAGTGGCTTTAAGAAAGAATTGAATAGAAGAAATGGAGAGAGTGAATATATGCAATCTTTTGAAGAAATTTTGCTTCAAAGGAGATTAGAGAAGTAGAGTAGGAGCTGGAAGGGATGTGAGTCAAAAGACAGTGTGTGTTTGTTTGTTTGTTTGTTTGTTTTAAAGCAGGAGAGAGAATGGCATGTTTATATGCTGATAGTAATGATCCAGGAAAGAGGGAAAACTGATAATGCAGATGAGAGAAACAGTTGCTGGAAAGAGGCCCTTGGTGAGCAAGGGCAGGCGGAGTCAGTGCACGAGCGAACGGGTTGGCCTTGGGTTGGATCAGGAATTGATTCCGATTCAGGAAGGCAGGCAGAGAATTAGGAACACAGAGGCAGCAGATAAATGTGATGGTGGGAGCTTGCGAACAGTTTCTTCTGATTACTTCTAATTTTCCCAGGAAATGGAAAGCTCGGTCATCAACCGTGAGTGAGGATGGGGGAGAAGTTGAGAAGGTGTGAAATAATCGTCTAGCGGAGGAGGAGGAGTGGGCAAGGCAGGAGCGCAGTATGATGAGCACCGGAGGCCGATTTAGGTTCATGCCCGTGAGCTTAGAGACCAGGGAGCGTGACAGGGTGCCTTCTGCAGCCACGTCCCGCTGTGCGGGGTAGTCACAGGGCGGGCAGAGCTAGAGCTTTGCCAGGGAAGAGTGGAGAGAGTGCCTGCGAGAGGCGACGAAGTACAGAGTTTACGCTGGGCAAGGAGGTAAGTGGGGATGCGGCGGGAGGGCAGGGGAGGGGAGCAGCTGATTGAAGGATCAAGAAAGCGGGGATCCTGGCGGCTGGGAGAATTGTTGAACTGGAGAGGAGAGGGAGGTGAGAGCGCGCCGTTCACCATGGAGATTAGGGAGAGGCTGCAGTGGAATGGCGGGTCTGCTGCACAAGAGCGGGCGGCGGACACGGGAGGGCCAGGCCGTCACGGTGGAGGGGAGGTAGAGAAACTGAGGCAGCGGGTGTCGGGCTGTCATCTACATGGACAGTGAGTCATCAAGAGGTAGGCAGGAGTAACGCTGGAGAGGGAACAGGGAGCCAGGAGCTGACATCCCTAAGGAGTGAGGGCGATGGCCAGCAGGGCGCAGATAGATCGGTGGGTGACATCGTCTGGTATCACTCAACCACCCAGGCTTTTGGATGGCATGTGTGTGTCACTCCAGAAAATAAGCTGTGCTGGCGTTTTATTTCTCCATCGCTTTGTTTTCAGTGTCCCATTACCAGCTTAGGCCAGATACTGTTAAATTTGTGAAACTCAGTTTAAAAGAGCTTGATTCTGATTCAAGTTGCCGAGAACTTTCCTGGTGGAGTGAGCTTGCCTTTTTCGCCCCGCTCCTGATGTCCGGCAGAGCGTCCGTGACACAGGAAGGGCTCACTGCCTGGCTGTGGCATCTGTGCGGCCTCGGACTGGTGACTTCATCTGTGAAAGAGTGGAAATAATATTTATCTCTCAGGCTTATTGTGACAATTAAAGAAGGTCATGTGAAAGCAACTAAGCATGGTCCCCAGCACATCTAGGAGCTCAGTTCAGATTTTATTTAACAGAGCTAAAATTAGATCCTTTGAGTTAAAAATACTGCAAAAAGACTATCTATTCTTGGTGAAAAAAAAATGTCCTTTGTGAAAATAAAGTGCACTATCTGCTAGTTTGTGTATGGTATGTAGAGTGCATATTATAGATTAGCCCACCAAATTGGGAAATCTGTAAAATGGGTTACTGTTGCAGCAAAAGATTTTACTCTACACTCATTATGTGATTAAGGCAAAATTATTTTTATTGTAATTATCCAAATTCAGTAAAATGTTTAATGAGACATATACTGTCTTGGGCAGGTTAGCATGACATTTAATTTGTGTTAATTTGCCCGAAACTTAGGAAGCAGAAGTGTACTGTTTTTAAGAGTGTGGTTCTTTGAGAGGGAAACCAGTATTTTATGAGATGTTTCTACACATAGATTTAGATTTCTCTATCATCTTCTCCCTTCAAGCATTTAAAAAATCACCCTGAGCATCACAGAAAGTAGATCAATAACAGGTGCTTAGTGTCAATGGGGTAACAACAGGATCGATAGGAATCAGAAATTTTTATGAGATACAGGAGCATGGTGCATCTGTATATTGAATATCTATAAAGGAAAGGGTGATGAAATCCAAGTCAGGTGACCTAGGTTCACATTCTGACTTTGCTGGTCATTTAATCCAGGACCATAGGCTTGTTTTCTTTATCTGAAAAGTGGGCATAATAACACCTCGTGGGGCTGCCATGTTGATTGAGTGAGGTAATAGATGTGAAAATATTTTATATATTATGTTAGTCAAAGGTAAGGGATCATTATGATGCCTTCTAGTGAGTGAAAGAGTTAAAGATAACATCGTCAGATATCTCACAGAGCAATTCCAGGCATTTGCATCATTTCTCCTCTACCAGGATGGAAGGCATGCCTGCCTTTTTGAGAAAATTATGCTCCTTCTGGACATGCTGAAGAATAGCTGGTAACCAAGCTAATTCATCGATTCAGGGTATTTTCCTTTGAGACTGAGGTGGACAGAAAGCTTTAATCACAATGTATAGGGTCAATAAGAATCATGTAAGTGATGGACCAACCTAAATCCATCAGTACTATAGGGTGAAAGGACCCTCCACGACTCCCTGACCCCAGCATTTTTAAATATATGGAAGTGAGGCTCACAAAGGGTAGTTTACAATGACATTTTGAAATAAATTTAAATTATAATGACTGCCCATAAAAAGTGAGAAAACTTCGTGACTATTACATCCATGAGGATATTGTTTCAGTCATAGTCTCTGAGCTAGGTCGCAGGTCTTTAATTCTTTGGAGCAGTTACAGTGACTCAAGGGAAGTTGAGAGACAGGTGGCCATGTCTCCCTGCAGAGGGAGAGACTGATCTTCTCAAAGGGTCTGGTAAGCGTATCTGATCTAGAGTCACTAATGATGGGATGATCTGTTGTGGCCAGGCCTTGGCACCTGCCAGGATCTGGGATGAGGCAGTCAATGTGTATTATTCTGTTAAGTGGGAGAGCCCTCACTGCTCTTCTGAATCCTCCAACCCCAGCTCCAGCCCAGGGCCTCAGGAATAGTAACATCCAAGAGGATCCTTCCTTACTTAGGAAAATAGAAGCTCCTTGAAAGAGCTTCCCTACAAGTTCCGCCACGGAAGTACATAGACATTTGCATGGATCCTAAATCTATGCTTTGTTCAATCTGACTCCTTGGGACCTTTCAGATCCTTTCTCATCTTGACCTTTCCTCTGTACAGCTCTCAAACCAAGGCGAAGACACAACCCTGCTTAACAATGTCATTATAATATGTCTCATATCACCAGTCTATTTTTTGTTGTTGTTGTTCTCGGAGAATCTTAAAAAATGATCTCACATGTAACTTTATGGAATTAACTATAACATTTGTTCCAAATGCCAAACTTTGCCAAATTTGCAGTGTTATAAATACCCTACTTTTAATGTTGTAAAACCATCAATAAGTTGCTTCATACCATCGGGGAGATTTGCAGGCCTCCTCCGGGGAACACCTTCATCACATTTTGCCATTTGCTTAGAATGTCAAACAGGGCCCCCTTTTGGAGGACATGGGGGATGAATCTCAATGCCACAGGGAAGAACATATATTATAGATCTTTCCCCCTGTTTTATTTTATTTTTTTAAATCTATACAGGCAACAGCCTCAGATTCCAATCACCACAGGAACAGGTGTTGTGTATCCTGGTGCTATTACTATGGCAACGACCACACCATCACCTCAGATGACATCTGACTGCTCCAGCACCTCCGCCAGCCCCGAGCCCAGCCTCCCGGTCATCCAGAGCACTTACGGCATGAAGACGGACGGCGGGAGCCTGGCGGGACCCGAGATGATCAACGGAGAGGATGAGATGGAGATGTATGACGACTATGAGGACGACCCCAAGTCAGACTATAGCAGCGAAAATGAAGCCCCCGAAGCTGTCAGTGCCAACTGAGGAGCGTTTGTTTGCTGAATTAAAATACTCTGACATTTCGCATCCCCTTCCCCAACAAAAAGTTCTTAAAGAGCCCGCATGCATTTGTGGCTCCACAATTACATCAGCAGAATGGTCTTAATTGTTTTGTAAAGTGTGAGACAGATTAAGTTTTCCCTGATTTTTCATGAACTTGAGTTTTTTGTCGTTATTGTTATTGTTGTTGTTGTTTTTTTAATTTAGGTGAAGACATATTAAATATGAGACACCAGGACTTGAAAACTTATCTCAACCCATAGCTGTCTTACAAGTCTTATATTTTTGTCTTACTATATATTTTTTTTTGGATGTTGATAAAGGTTTAAGTTACTGTTTTAGATGGGGTTAAACATTCTCACTCAGGTATGCTGTGCCGGCCTACAGGTTGTGAATGTGTTTTTATTCTGAATTATTTTAGAAAACAACTGAGGATTTCCTGTTGTGGAGCAGAACAAGTCCACGGCGTGTGCAGCTGCACGTAGAGCATTTCGAACGGCCTCGAATTCCATGTGTCCATGTGTAGAGTTAAACTTTGAATGTGCCAAACTTTTTCATCACTTTTGAATCTTAATATTTTGAAAGTCTTAAAGGAGACACTGCAAAGTCTTAGACAATCTTTGGCATCTTAAAATAAAAATAGCAAACCATACCTTTTTTTTTTTTCCAGAAAATGGTAAAGTACTCAGGAATCTGGAGACGAGACATTGTAAGGAATGAGCAAGGTTGCCACAGTGCATGTCCCAGTCATGTTTGCCTCTTGACGTGCCATCAGTGTGTGACGCGTGTGACGTTTGCACACCAGAGCAGTCACCACACCAGATACCGACGCGGTGGTCTCCTCTGCCCGAGACCGCCTCTCACTACATCCAGCCTCCCTTTGCCTTTAGCCCTGACATTCAGTCTTAACACATTTTTCTCTTAAGTAATTTATTCATTCCAGAATGTCAAGGGTCCACTTACTATTTATTTTTAAAAAAATTGTTGGTGGCATTAATTTAATAATTTTTGTTTTTCACCGTCCTTCCCCGAAGAATTTTCAGCCCTTTCCACCTCCTTCCCCTGCTAGATACAAAAGATGTACATAGTGATTTTATGTCCCCAGAGCATCTGGAAGCATTTCTGAAACAAGGTACTATTCAATACCTATATTGTTGTTTTTAATCACGAGTGTGTATCTGACCGCAGGGCTGTGTGTTTGGATACAGGTTCAGAGTCTTACACTTCAGCAGCTCTGCCCCAAGGTTTGCTGTGCCCTCAAGTCTTTTGCCAGAATTCCCCCATAAGTCAGCTCAACGGCGAGTGGTAGGATCTGTCTCGGTGGCGTTTCCCCTGAATGCCATTCAACAGCAAGGGTCAGCGGTGGTGACTCCCAGGCAGGAGAGTCCTGCAGCCAAACCTACAGCCCAAAGCTGGGGGCCATGTAGGAGGCCACAGTGGCGCTGTCATGGGCTGGCACCTTTGAGCTGGGCTGCCTTGTCCCATCTGGCCCATTTAGGGAGTTCTTTGCAAGATCCCTAGGATGCAAGAAGCCACATGACAGCCTCAAAGAAAAGATGGAGGCAAAGAGTCATGATGCATCCAGAGAATGAAAGAAAATCGTAGGGAAGAAGGGGAGGAACCACATTCCCTGCCTGTCAAGGATGCTCCTGCTGTTAACTCTGGGACAGCTCGCTCCTGGGCAGCAGGGGAGTTCCTGGGGCTCGCACCCCCTGTCTGTGGCCTCCATGTGAATGAGATTAAGTGCACTTGTCACACAGGGATTTTCTGGAGCTGTGCTGATGGGCTGGGAGGCAGCGATGTTTGATTCCCCATCTCCTCATTATGGGGAGCTCAGCCATGCCCTTTTGACCTTCCTGAAACCAGGACTGATTGCCTATGGGGTGAGGGGGCCTCACCCAGAGAGCTGCAGTTGGAGAATGTCTCCAATGGGACAGTTCACCTCATAGGACAACCCAGAATCTGAGCAGCAGGACATAGGAACGGCCCCATCAGATTTCTTGAGCCATTTTGTCACTTGGAAGAAAATAGTGTACCTTCATATTTATTTAACGAGTGCTCAAGGCCATACCTAATAGCAATTACTAGGTCTAGCCGAGATATTCCTGGCTGTGTCATCAGCTGGGAGCGCTCTCTATAAGCTGATTAAGGTACTGATAGGAATGTTTTGTTCTTAATATTGGTTGGGGATTGGAACTTTGTTTTTGTACATTTATTTCAAATGAGGAGGAGGTCATTTTTCTTAAAAAAAAAAAAAAAAAATGATAAACAGACTAGGTCCTCAGTTAAGGTTCAGTGAACACATGAATGAATGGCACAGACCAAAACAGTACCAGGTGGAATGAAGAGGAAGGAGAGATCTGAGAGCTATTGTATGGGGCAAATGGTCCACGCCTTGGATGGGCCGTATTAGAAAGAAAGGAAAGGAATGTGGTTCTAGGATTTTCAGAGGAATTATTGATAAGGCACTGACTGAGGTAGGGGACTGGAGGCAGAGCTGGATTGTGCTGGGAACATGGTAGACAGGACCAGCAGCAATGTTAGTGGATACAATGGATTGAGCATTCATTAAGCACTTGNTGGAACATATACCTCTCCTCCTCAGTTCCTGCTCATGTTTTTCTCATGGTCTTTGGCTTTTGCTCTGCCTCCCCACTCCTTTTTTATTTTGTTGCATAGGCAGAGTGCTGTATGGCTAGCATTGTAATGTATGTAATTAATTTTGCACAGAGGCAAACACTTAGAATAGTAGGTTAATTCCATCTGTTTTATGACCATGCCAAAATAATAATCTGGGCTGGCGGAAAACAAAGGACTGTTCTTTAGGACTGAAACTTGATTTTGCTTGTAGTAAAAAAACAAAACAAAACAAAACAAAAAAAAACACAACAAAAAACACACACACTCACAGATGTTGTTTCATAAGTGTTATAAGCACTGGATATAAATGGTATTTTTTATCACTTCTGACTAATGTGAAACTGTTGTACGAAAACTACATGAACAAAAGTCATCTGTTTCGACTCGTGTGGGCTTGCCTCACAGTTGCCGGATTTGAGTCATTTTTATGTCTTGTTATTTCATTTATTTATGCAAAATACATGTGTGTATGAACACTTTGTTTTAGCTCCAGCTCTGCCTCCGTACTGGGGTTCAGTTACTTCTAGCCATGTTCTCAAAAACGAAAGGCTGTTCAGGCACGATCTGATTGTAAACGTCCCTTTCATTGGGTCAAACAGTGATGCTGTATTTGAATCTAAATTCTGCACATTAGCAGCTTATTCTATTTATTAGCCAAGTTTGGCTCTAAAAATCCTTGGAAATTAAGAATGACAATCATAGGGATCCCTTCATTTTATTTGCAGTGGGGCTTAAACAAAGTTTTTTACGACTTTACCATCTCATTTTAGATTTTTTTCTAATTGTGTAAATATAACATAGAAATAGAATTTATTTTTGGTTCATGAATACTTAGTGAGATATAAGTTATGTATTTCCTTTTTGTTCTCTATCCATGTGTGTTGGTCCAGACTAGAAGTCGACGAGTCACTGCACCGCGTGCGGAGAGCCAGCTTCCAGCCGCGGCGAGAGCAGGTCCCCCGGCGCTGGGGCCGTAAACCCTTCACTCAGTCCTCGCGCATTAGAGCCCACTGTCCACAGACTCGGCCTTTGACTTTTTCCTTATAGAAAGTCGGTGAATTGAACATACCAAATTTCCAGTACAGCTGGGAGAGAGTCAGTTTGCTTTGTGAATCCACATAAATTGTGTCAGGTAGTTCTGTGACCATTTAATAATAGCAGGAAGCATGAAAGTTATTGTAAAAGCAAAAATCTGCCTCTGAGATTGGCCATTAACAAAAGTCCCACCATGCCAATTAGATGAAAGAATATTAATAAACTTTTGTTCAGTGCTTTTTATTTCATGGTATCTTCAAATCAAAGATAAAAATTATCTCCATTTTGGTAAAGAACTTGCAGGGTTAGAATTTTCCATGTCACTCAGAAAAGGGACACTAGCAGACAATCCTAGCCTAAAAATAGACCATAAGGAATAGGAAGGAAAGAAAGATGAAAGAAGAAAGAAAGAAAAAGAAAGAAAGAAAGAAAGAAAGAAAGAAAGAAAGAAAGAAAGAAAGAAAGAAAGAAAGAAAGAAAGAGAAAAAAGAAAAGAAACCAGAGAAAGGGAGAGTCAATCCGTGAGTCAGTCAGTGGCCAGGAGCAGCAAGCAGGCAGGCAGTTTCTCCGTTTCACTGGCAGATGCGATGCAGTCTCTGTTCCAGGAAGGTACGAGAGCTTTGTTGTTTTCACATGTATCCAGCTCAACCTTTTAGAATCAGTTGCTTCATTTGGTATTTGATACTCCCCAGCCTTGTCCTCAGGCCTGATTTTTTTGCCAGGGTCCTGACACGGACTCCCAGGCCAAGTTCTAAATTCAGGTGTGGGCTCACAGTGCTATCGAGCTTGTCAAATTCTGGCCTCCCCTGAACATTAGCCCCACTGGAGCCTGGGTGTTTGAAAAGGGTGTGATCACTCTGGGGCTGAAATTAAAGGCTCCTTTCTTTTTCTTACGAAGCCCTGCTGCTTCTTCGGAGCACACCCTCTGGAGCCAGGAGCACAGGCACTAGCTGAAAGCAGGGATTGTTTCGAGGAAGCCCATCTGCGCCCAGTAGGAAGGCAGCCTGGTAGCTTGAACACCACGGCCCAGGCTGCTTATCTCAATTTACTAATGTTGTAAAGAGGTGACCTCTACCTATGCATTAGGGAAAGGAGGAAGAATCACTTAGTAGTTTCAAATCATACGAGAAGTCCTGTACCAAGTGCCAACAACTGCAAACAGTGCAGCTAGAGGAATGTATTGGAATTATTACTGGGTCTTCCTTTTTGATGAGAAAATGACAAAGTGGTTGCTGTAGCCTTGCCTGATTCTGTACACGTTTGTCTAAGGACTGAGTTGGCACTTAAGCTCACTTCTCAAAGTATAATAATATTGTATGACCTCATTTGTCCCTTTACAAAAGCACTTGCATCGTTTCCTTAAGTCATCTGCCCCTTGACATGTGTTCTTCCTTAATAAACAACTTCTATCTGTTATTCCTGCCGATTATGTTCTGTTTCCGATGCCCTATACTATTGAGCGTGACCCTCCGCTGATATCATTGAAAATATTGATATGCAAACATATTTCCTTTTCTTCCCTATCCCATCTTTTCCCTTTGGGGACAGATTGCTCTCCCAAAGCTCATGAACAAGTATTGGAAATGCCGGTACCTTAGGGGTGGGGCTACGGCGGGTGGGGGAGGGGCAGGCAGGTAACAGTGCAGGTACTCTTCCAATTGGTGTCTGTGGCAAAATGGAAGCTTGAAGGCCACTCAGTGACATCTCACTCGGTGGCTTTTTATTCCCGAAGAACCACAAGCATAAAGTGAGGCCTCGGTGCTGGTGCTCTTGGAGTACGGGGAATGTGCAACTATTTAACTGTCCCGTATGCTGCACATTGCAGATCTGCTCATGTGCATTCTCCGTTTGTCTTCCTTTGTCATGTGTGTTTGCTTTTTTGAAAGTGCAGTCTCTATTGTACCCTTCTCCAGCTTGTAGCAAACTAGAATGCTTAGCATTTATGTTCATGCATTATTGTATTTGCCATGTAAATTTTTTATTACCGTAGACAAGCTTATAAGCTGTTACTACATAACTTATCTTACTGTAACTCTTTTATTTCCCCACATTGTAATTTGTTTGTGATGTATATTGTGAGATTGTATTTTATGTTAATTTAATCAGCACAATTCACTGACATGCTGGACTGACATGCTGGCTGCTGTTTCAAAGTGTAAAGTTTGTGTAGGGCTGTTGGGACAACGGCAGCTCTGTTGTCAAGGTGCCGTGCTTTGGTTCCTCTAGCAACACTGCGGGCGTGGCCCTGGAGAGCTCAGGGCACTGCATACACCCTGGAGCAAATCCTAACTGCAGATTTCCTTTGTAGAAATTCGGTGTGTACCGCAGGGACCTACTTGGCCCATGGCTGGTAACTATTTGGGCAACTAGAAAAAACAAAAACCATAAAAACTAGTGTTATTGCTGCTTTGAATATGTTTGAAAGTCTGAAAATGTAAATAGTTTATCAAAAAAAAATCTTGTACAGTCCAGTGTAAAGTTTTTAAATGACCTTAAGGGTTGCCATCACATCTTTCTCACACTCTCCTCTTGAGAATGGAAAAAAAAGTTTGCTGAGGATTAAAGAAATGGGGAGGAAAAAGAATCTCTTCAAATTTAAAGGAATGCATCATTGTTCTTAGCTCTGTTGCATACACAACACACACAAACTTCTCGGATTTGTTATGCAGTATTGACATGAGACAAAACTCAACACTGACTGATCTCTCAGTGGGACTTTTCAGTCTCCCCCTCCCCACCCCACCTCATAATTAAGGGAAAAGACGAACTGTCTTTCTTTACCCTGGTGTATGTTGGCACCTTAGCTACTTTTCCCCCCCTTTTTGCACAAGGTGCTTTCCTGATGTTAAAAATGCCATCTTTGGGTGATAATGTATATGCCATGATGGGGCCCGGGCCCCTCAGGGGAGTGTCTATAAGAACTGCCTATTTATGCTCATTTACCTCAAGACTGTCCTCTCTACCCTTAATCTAGTCGTCATCACTCCATCTTTTGTACTGCTGTTGACACTTACAAATTAAAGATAAATTTTGTTTTATGACCTCTGTGTATGGCCTTATCTGTGCCCTGCAGACTGTTCCCACCCTGGGGCCCAGTAAGCCTTGGCCTGGCCCCCGCCTGCTGTGGAGCCAGCAGAGCTCTCCTGCTCCCCGCGCCCCCCGCGCTGCTGTCCGGCTGGGCGGTGGGCTGCTCCGAAGCCTTGAAGCCCCCGGCCCGGGAAGACTTGCCTGCTCTCTTCATGGTGGAGCATCCGCTGCTGCAGGAAATGCTTGTGGATGTAGAGGTAGGAACAGGAGCCAAGGTGGAGTTTTGTCCAGAGAAGAAGAGAATGTCACTCCTATTTGCCTGGCTCCTTCAGGAGGGTGAAACAGTCTATGAGAGCTCCCAGCGTCCCGGGGTGTGAAGGACCCTCGAGGGCCAGCCTCTCTGGCACCGACCCTGCAAGCCTGGAAGATGCCACACTTCTGGGACCTCTGCCCCCACCGCAGCTGGGCGTGGTCGGCCGGTTTCTCAGCCGCTTCTGCCCCGGGGGGAGGAGAGCCCCCATCTCATTGTCCAGCCAGGAGGGGGCCCAGGAGCGAAATGA